GGGGGGGATGAAAAGAGAGGTTTACCAGAGTATGTACAAGTCCTTCTCCTGTAAGTAACAGATCACTTCCAACTATCAAATGGATAAGCGGTGTTGGCTGTAAAGCAGGAGGGAAACTGAGAGAATCAGGCTAAGGCTGAGCTGTCTACAATTTGATCTTTCTAAGTTGTGAAGAATTGGGTAGAAAGGGAAATGTGCCAATGCAAAGGTATATTCGCCTCAATTTACAGAGATTTAAACCTGATAAAGCTGAGTAGTACAGAGGAAATTGGTGAATTATGGGGGAATAGTCATCTAACTGCAAATAATGTACCCAGTGGAAATGTGAATCTCTTGTGGCTGCTGTCATTAGACAAATGGATACCATCCTGTGTGTGCACAAGGGGTGGCTGGGCAGGACAACCCAGAGTGAACCAGTACAATTGTCTGTGGCACCAGAGGTCCGTGTGTCCAAGGATGCTCACATAACTCCCTGATCCAATGGGATATATGTGTTGGGGTTTTTTTACTTTCTTCTCCCCTGAGGAGCTGGAACCCTTATGGGGATTATTAAAAGATTCTGGTTTTAAGAATAAAAACAGTTTGGGCACAGGGTACAGGCCAGGTGACAGCTTCAATGCCATCCAACATGGTGTTCCCCCCACCTTCCCTGAAGTTAGGCACTAAAGGCAGCAGCACTCAGTGGGGAAAGAGGCTCCATGCAGACGAAGGGGCTGAGATAACGTTCAGGCCCTCCTTCCACCGGAGGGGTAGAGGTCAGGCCCATTCACCAGAGCGGCAGGAAATTTGCTCTAAATGTTTCAGTTCATACACAATATGGTCTGAATGAACCGCTCAACCACCACTGATTGAGATATTTAAGGATGAAGACAGTGGGGGTCAATCAACTGACACCGAGACACCCCCCAGCCCCGTAACAGCTGCTGGGGAGGTGGGGTTGCTTCGGCTCCTGCGATGTGCCCAGGGATTTCTCCCTAGGAGGTGTTCCTGAGAAGATAGCGCAGGACAGGTGGGGAGATTCTCCTGTTGTTCCAAAAATGTCTTTCCTGCCCCAGTTTCGGGCTGTAGTTCACTTCATCACATCACGTGAATTGTGCAACTACTCAGGATGCTGGAAGGACCCACGGTGATCCTGGCCAGAGCAATTTACTCAGCTCCTTGCAAACTGCGGGCAAATGGCTTTGAGAGACAAGAAGAGTAAGAGATACTCCTGCCCTTGCTTGTGTGCCCCCCCAGTGGCTCACCCCGGTAAAGGGGGAGGATTACAGCTATATGACAGGATTGGTTTACTCCAGGTTTTAGATTGGCTGGCTCCAACTTTTTCTTGCACACATCATTTTCAGTTATTTATCTATTCTCCATATATGAGGAATGGGATGAGAGCAATGGATTGCTTTAGTGAAGCCACTAAACTAATGATAACATCATTAAAATGCTGCTATATCTAAAGATACTGCTAATACCGGAAAAGGAAAGTTGAATCACTTTAATGTCTGATTTCCCTTTTTTTAATAATCCATATCAGCAGAGGCTGTCCTCCCTGCCCTCTCCTATACCCATAGAATAAACTGCTTCTGCTCTGACCTGATCTAAACTGTAATTTGGATTACTTCCACGTCAGCGTCTGGTGCCGTGACTGGGATTCCCACGTCCGTGCTGCAGCTGGTTGTCAGTGTCAGTGCTGGGGCAGAGGGAGCCCACAGGTGGGAAATGGGGCATCAGGGTGTGCTGTGGCACTGCCGTCTTTGGAGGATCAGGGGGCTGCTCATAGGTGTAACCTGCGTGTTGGGAATGCGTAGGAGGCAGAGCGCTTTGAGTCTGCAGTAATGAAGATGTAAAAAGTGGGAGTGGGAGTAATGATGAAGAGCTCGTGTCCAAACTGAGAGGAGGATGGGAGGGCTTGGGATGCAAGGTTTTGGATCAAGAAATCTGGATCGATCCAAGGAGAGGACATCTGTGCTAGGTGACTGAATGCTATGCAAGCAGCCTGCAGGGGTGTCCCTCGGTGCTTGTCTTTAACATTCGTCCCCACATCACAGTGGAGAAGGAATACCCTCTAAAATCCTTCAGTGGGGGAGGGAGGCTGGTAGACTGCTGTGATTACTTTGTAACAAGCCATAAAATCATAACAAAGTCCCAAAGGAAAACCTGAGCGGCACTTTAGTAGCCAAAAAGCCAAATGCAGCAGGCACACGTACATTGCTGGTGATGGCTCCCTGCTCTGATGGGGGGGCGAAGGCGGGAGGCTGCGGAGAGCCCTGTGCTCTGGGTGGGTGGCTCTCGCTTGGGGAACATCTGTAAGGTGCCACTGAGCAAGGTGCTAAATACCAGCAGCTGTGGAAGCTGCTCCTGGTGCGGCAGCCGGGGGCTGCTGGGCAGTGAGGGAGTCCCCAGGGCTTGTTTTAAGGCTCTTCTTTTTGTAGCCATAATTCCAGAGTGAATTTTTCCTTCAAGTGATGCTCTCCTCCCCTCCCCTGCTGCTGGCAGCAGGGATGCTCCGCACCAAGGGGTGCCTGGCTGAACCGAGTACGTGTGAGCCGGAGATTTCCCCGCAAAGTGAATCGGTGGTTCTGTTTGTCCCTCTTTTCCACTGGCAGAAGAGGTGAGCCATTTCCCTGCCCAGGCTGAAAACCCATGCCGGGACCAGCACCTCGAAACTGGTTTTATTTTTCCAGAGCTGCTCCCCGAGGTGCCATGGTGAGAAAAAACAACTTCTGGCTTGTTTTGGGGGCCGAATTCCCAATCGTTTCCCAGAAAGGGCTGGAGCATCCCGTTGCTGGGGCAACTGCAGGGCTGGGGCTGGGTGCGGGGCTCAGCTGCACTTCTTCTCCCCACCTTCCCACCATCTCTCCCCGAGGTCGGGACTGTTTTAATGTAATAAATGCCTTTAACCTCTTAGGGCATGAAAGCCTTGAAAGATTATCTGCAATACAGGGAAAACAGTGCCTCAAGCCCTTTGCTTCTCTGGGGCTCTATGTCATCAGGCTTCTAGAAAAAGGGATATTTTTATTTCTGGGCACATCTAAAACTTAACTAATGATGGGAATTTAAAGATTACATATTTTATTTGTTTGTCTTCATTTCTCCAAAATCTCCGACATGAGCAATCTCCTCCACAAGCCCCTTTCCCTTTTCCTGTGCTGTGATTCCTGTACATAGGGTAGCCAGAGGATTCCAGATTATCTGGCAGCACTTAATTTCTAAGGGTAACTCAAACTTTTCTGTGCAGTTGGAGCTCAAAGGCTTATTCCTGTAAATCTGATTAACTCTGATACTACTTCTATGCTACTGATGCTGCATCAGTGAAACCATGTTAAACTGACTGCCTGAAACTGTTTCCTAAAGCAATACAACATTAGTTCCGTCTTACAAATAACAGAGGTTTGGAACAACAAAGAGAAAGTTAAAAAAAAAAACAACTGATAACAAAAAAAAAAAATCAGACTATTTAAGCTAAGAGACAATGTCGATCAAGTTTCAGAAGGCTGCATTCCTACCTTCTCCCTAAGCCTCCTGTGCATATTGGCTGTCCCTGGTGTATTCAGTACTTTTGTCTTGCAAACGGAGGTTAGGATGGAGAATGAGGTTGTAAGTAGGAGAATTAGCCCAATACATTGAATGCAAAGTACATAAATGTTCAAACTCAAGTTTGAGGACAAAGCTGGTAGGCTGACTATGGAAGGAGTCTTGAGAGTTGGGATAGCCTGGATCAGTTCTGAGTTTCCCTCGGTAGAGCTGTGTGATTGTGTTTGCTGTGTTATTGTTTATGTCCTGTGTGAGGAAAAAAAAAAAAAAAAAAAAAAAAGGGGAAGTTCCAAAACGAAGTTTTTGGTAGGGAGGAATTACAGTGCCTGAGGTCCTATGCTCTGAAGACCCTCATTCCCCCAGGCAGTCAGTGATTCTTTCTCAAACTCTGTTTCAGAGCACTTCACTCAGGCCAGATAAGAAACAAGGGCTGGAAGGATGGCTTCACCTCTGGTCAAGTGCAGTCAGCGACTTTGACTGCGTCTGGAGCCACGGTCTCTCTGAGGCTGCTTCAAGTAAATCCTGATACATCCCTTATTTGGGATGAAGGCAATGTTTTACAGAAGATCACATGGAGTTACATTAATTAGTTTTTATAGCACACCATAACCACTCAAATGGCACCTAAACCTCTGGGAGTCAGACCTGGCTGTGTTTGTTCCCCACTCTGGCTGTGTCTGGGTACAGTTTTCCCCATGCTATGCTGTGCCCTGGGAAGCCCTATGCTGCCTTGCTCCAAGAGGGACCTGTGGGTGCAAGTCATAGAATCATAGAATGGTTTAGGTCGGAAGGGGCCTTGAAGATCACTGTAGCACTGCCCATTCCATCCCTTCCTTCCATGTGCTTGCATGTGCAGTGTCACTCAGGCTGGAAACGGGCAGGGAACGAGCTGCCCAAGGGGAGGCTCTGCAGTAACCCATCCTGCTCGTGCCCTGCCTGCCAGGGAACTCTTTAGCAGGGGTGACATCCCACAGTGGCAAGATGCACACCTGGGCCCCTGGGATCCTGCAGCCCCTTCCAGGTCCCCTTTTTGTAACAATTGCAGCATGTAGCCACTTGGGAAGGGGAGATTAGAAGAAGGAGAAACCCCACAAAAAAAAAAAAAAAACGAGGATGAAACCCTGCAGAAGGGGATCACCCAGCACCTCTGCAAGGGGCAAGGGCCAGATGTCTTCCTGTGGTCCCATTCTGGGCAGATCCTGGCATATGTCTGGTCATGGAGCCTGGAAAAGCCCGGCAGGAGCCCAGTGTCCTGCCAGACCCCCAACAGGCACCCCCAAGCTAAAGCAAAATCACCTCAGTGATGCCCGTGAAACCCGCAGTGGCTGAGAGCATGCTCTTGTGTGTCCAGTTCAGATCATTGGAGTCTCAGAGGTGTTTTTAGACTTTCCATATCCAAAACCCCACACCTGCCACCCCTGAGACACTGCGTGGGGGCCGTGGGTCCTGCTGGGGAGCACGGGGGCCCGCAGGACGGGTTCTCCCTTACCGCAGTAGGTGCTCATCCGTGGGGAGCATCGCTCCGGCACCTCGGCCTCCTGCTCCGGGGAGAGGCAGAGCCCACCCGGGCTGCGGCGGGGCCCGTTGGTCAGGGCTTGGAGAGGCGAAGAGCAGAGCCGGTGGGTTCGGGAGGTC